GAGGACGAGACCGGTGGCGTTGGCACAGTCGGTGATGGTCTTGATGGGACCGCCGGGGGGGGAGAAGACCGTGTTGAGGGGCGAGCACTGGCCCTTCTTCAGCTGGCACATCATGAGGGAGTCGGTCGGGGCGCACATGGACGCTGGGGAGGGGCGAAGGGGGCGGATTAGGGGGGGCGCTTTAATGTCGTGTTTTTTTTATTATTTATTGTTATTATTGTTGTTATTGTTATTGTTATTGTTATTATTATTATCATTATTATTATTATTATTATTATTATCAATATTATCAATATTATCATTATTATTATTATTATTATTATTATTATTATTATTATTATTATTATTATTATTATTATTATTATTATTATTATTGTTGTTGTTGTTGTTGTTTTAAATGTTGGGTTTCTGTTGTTTAGTGTGGTTTGCTTGGGTGTTGTTGTGTGTGTTTTTTTCTGAGATTTGTTTGGTTTGAAAATTGAATATGATCGTATTTGATATCTGGACATAATGACAGTAAAGATGATGACTGTGATAACTAATAACTATAATTACGATCATAACAAGATACACAAAAATCAAAACAACCTCAGCAATAACATCAACAACATCAACAACAACAACAAAAATGCTGTTAAAAATACGACAAAAATACACTTACTATCCAGCCAAGGCGAGGCACCAGGCATAGGCACCAAGGCATAGGTGGTGCCAGCTGCCAGTAACGCGCACAGGACCAAAGAGACCATCTTCCGTTACTGCGGGGGGGGGGGGGAAGGACTTTAAAAAAAGGAGAAAATGAAAATAGAGAAAATAGTAAAAGTACATAAGTTCAATTGGATTCTGTTTTTTCCTCTTTTCAAACAAGCGATAGTTTCTTTAATATTTATGCAAATATGTTGATGTGATGAAATATGTTAATAATGGATGACACTAATAATAATAATGATATTTAACAACAATAATAATAACAACAACAGCAATAATAGTAATGATGATGACAAAAACTGTGATAATGATAATAATAACAATAGTGATACTGCTACTAATAGTAATATTAGTGATAATAACAGTAGTAATAATAATAATAATAATAACAATAATAGTTATAATAATGATAATAATGATACTACTATAAACAATAACGATAATAATGATACTACTATAAACAATAACGATAATAATGATAATAACAATAATGATAACAAAAAAACAAAACCACGGAAAACGGCTCTCAATACCCTGCTCTGACGGACGACCCTCGGCCGGATGGGAGAAGAATGACCTCTTCAGCTCTCGGCCTCGGCTTTTGTACTCCGCTGGGGGTCGAGTGCTCAGGTGGGGGGGGGCGGGGGGGGAGGAAAGAGTAACAGGGGGAGGAGGAGGAAGGGGGTAATAGGGGGAGAGGAGGAAGGGGAGGAAGGAGTGACAGGGGGGGGGAGGGGAGGAAGGAGAGGAAAGAGTTACAGGGAGGAGGAGGAAGGGGAGGAAGGAGTGACAGGGAGGAGGAGGAAGGGGATTATAGGGGGAGAGGAAGAAGGGGAGGAAGGAATGAAAGGGAGGAAGAGGAAGGGGATGAAGGGGGTAACACGGGGGAGGGAGGGGTAGCAGGGGAGAAGGGGGAGGGGTAGAAGGTGGTATTAGGGGCAGAGTAGGAAGGGGTAACAGAGGGGAGGGGGGAGGAAGGGATAACAAGAGGGAGGGGGAAGGGAGTGACAGGGAGGGGGAGGAAAGGGGTAATGGGGGGAGAGAAAAGGGATAAGAGGCGGGGAGGAAGGGGTGAGAGGAGGGGGGTGGTGTCGAGAGGGGGAGGGGAGGGGGGGAGGAGTAACAGGGAGGAAACCGAGAGGGGGAAGGGGAGAAGGGATGGGCAGGAAGGGATAACAGGAGGGGGAGAGGGAAGATCGAGAAGGGGAAGGGAGAAGAAAAGAGGGGGGAGAGGAAGGGAGGGAGGAGGAAGATGAGGTGGAAGAGGGAATGAGGAGGGGAAGGAAGGGTCAAGGTGGGGGACGGGGGGGGGAGTGAAAGGTCTAGGAAAGGAGTGGAGGGAAAGGACAATGGAGGGGGTGGAGAGAGGAGAGAGAGAGAGAGAGAGGAGGGAGAGGGGGGGGGGTAAGGGACATCGTCACATGAACAGTGACAAAGCACAAAGCAACGGTCATGTGGCACTCCCGAGGCACCCCCGAGGCACACACCTCAGGGAGCGTGCGTTCGGGCCCCAGCTAATCCCCGTCGACGCAGAGCTGCAGCGGGCGTGACCCAGCGGAGAACAGGCGTCTTACAATGTCCTTTGTGCGGGCGGGGCGCGTGCTGAGAATCCGCGTCCTCGCCTCAGCCGGGGTAAAAGGGGGAAGGGGAGGAGGGGGGAGGGGGTTGGGTAGGAGGGGGGAGGGGATTAGGTAGGAGGGGGGAGGGGGGCGGGGAGGGTAGGAGGGGAAGGGGAAGGGGGTTGGGTAGGAGGAGGTGGGGGGGGTAGGATTAAAACCGTGATAGACAGGGTCGTGTGCCTCGCGGAGGTTGGGTAACGCGAATATTGTTCTAATTGTGTCTTTCTTTAATTTGTTAAAAAAAACTATTTTTCATATACCCTTTGTTTATTAATGCTTATTCATATTTTCGTAAACCTCCCTCTCTACATATATAAGTATCTCTACCTATTTCTATTTCAGCAACCTCATCTATATATTTATATGTATAGTTTTTTTTGTTTTGTTTTTATATTGAAATGCAAAAGTGACCATCACTATCTAAGGAGCGAAGTGTTCTGCTTTCAGAGGTCAAAGGGGAAAGAGTAGCTTCTGCTTATCACGTGATACTGGTTGATAATGTTCATGAGTAATGAGAATTGTGTGTGTGTGTGTGTGTGTGTGTGTGTGTGTGTGTGTGTGTGTGTGTGTGTGTGTGTGTGTGTGTGTGTGTGTGTGTGTGTGTGTGAGTGTGTGTGAGTGTATGCGTGTGTGTTTTCCGTATATCATAACTCTCTGCAGAATGTAATATGAATAGGGTAAAGTCAAGCAAAATGAAATGATAAAAAAAAATGTGAAGAGAGAGAGAGAGAGAGAGAGAGAGAGAGAGAGAGAGAGAGAGAGAGAGAGAGAGAGAGAGAGAGAGAGAGAGAGAGAGAGCGAGAGAGAGAAAGAGAGAGAGAGAGAGAGAGAGAGAGAGAGAGAGAGAGAGAGAGAGAGATGAAACAGAATATACAAAAAAATAAATATCACCGCCCTCGGTCTGGATTAAGGACCACGGGCGCCCCTTTTCCATAAAAGAACAGACATAAAGAAAAGATTCATATTTCAACAAAATTTCTTACAAACCCAGACCAAAAATATTATTCAAATACAGATCATCCCAACCATACCGTCCTTTACCGTATTTTTCCATTCATACGTTATACTTGGTATATCGTTCTTACCTCTTAAAGATATTAGTTACGTAAAATCATGAATGAAAAGCCAATTAATCATATGAAGATAATAGTTAGAATGGAACTATTGATGTTATGAGTCACGTTCACAATGATGATGATGATGATAATGTTGATGGTGGGTGTGGTGATCATGATACTGCTACTAGTACTGATAATAGTAATGGTGATAATAATAATGATAATAAGAATGATATTAATTATAGTAGTAAGAATAAGAGTAACAGAAGTAATAACATTATTAATTAATGATGATAATAACAATGATGATTATGATAGCAATAGTAATGAATGGCAATACTACTGCAACTTCTGCTAATACTAATACTAATATTGATCATAATAACGATAATAGTAATAACATTGAAGATAGAGATGTTGGCGATAATATTGATATTACTGATAGTGAAGAATGCAATAATAACCATGATAATGTTAATATTGATAATAATTACAGCGCTAGTAATGATAGTAATAATAGTAATAATTATGATAATAGTAAAAATAATGCTAACGATGATAATGGTGATCATAACGATTATAGCAATCACACCAGGAGTAAAAATGTAATAACAATGATAACAACGATAGTAGCAACAATAATAATGAATATCAACAATTATAAAAACAATAATAACATGAAAAGTCATAATGATTATGATAAATGATCATAATAATAGTGATGATAACAATGTTAATGATTAAAAAAAAATAATGATAACAAAAATTATAATAATGATAATTATGATAGTAGTAATGATAATAATAAAGATGATTACGATAATTATAATGATGTCATCAATAAAAAAAATTAGTAATAATGATGATGATAATAATAATATAAATAATAATAGTGGTAATAATGATAATGATAAGGATGATGGTGATAATAGTAATATCAATGATGATAATGATAATAATGATAATGATAATGATGATGGTGATGATAATAATAATACCAATAATGATAATGATAATAATTATAACAGTAATAGTATTGATAGTAATAACAATGATAATAATGATAATGATAAAAAGGAAGATAATAATAATGAAAATGATAATAATTATAAAAATGATAATAGTAACGTTAAAATGATAATAGCAATAATGATAACATTAATAACAGTAATAGATTAAAATAATAATAATGATATTAAGAATGATAACATAAATAACAAAAATAATGGTGATGATAATAAAAAAAGATAATGATAATAATGATAGCAATAATACTAATAATAATATTGATGAAAATGATAATAACAGTAATTGTAATAATAATGATGGTGATATAACTAGCAACAACAACAACAATAATAATACGGATAACCAAAATAACAATAATAATGATAATAATGATGATAAAAATATTCATCATAAAAACCTTGATGATATTGATAATACTGATAACAGTAATAAGGATAATAACGATAATGACAATGATAATAATGATAATGATAATAATGATAAGAATAAGAATAAGAATATGAAAAAGAGTAAGAATAATTATAAAAACGAGAAAAAAATGATAGTAATAATAATAATAACAATTATAATAATAACAAAATATAAC